TTAGACTCAATCTTTATTTGCCCTGTGAGCTCCTGAATATTTAAAAAATATCCTATTGCATTATTTTCCCTGCTGGCAAAACTGAAGCTAGATAAAATATGAAAAATATCCTATTAAATACAACAAGAGTTGAGAATTAAGCTGAGTTTTATAAGTTCTTTTAAAATGCAAAAATGCAAAGTATATTGCAATAAAATGATTATCACTAGTTCAATGAAAAGTCACTTAACCATCTTCCACATAAAACACTATGGAAAACAATAATTCCCTAGAAAATATTTTATATTTCACTTGATGCAAAAGGAGAGATAAAACTGTGAAAAGAACTCAAATAGCACAATGATATGAAAAGGGCTTTATCACTAACTCTGCTTGGTGACCATGTCATTAGCTCAGTTTCTCTGGGTTTGATTTCTCCATCTGTAAAGTCAGTGAGTTGAACAAGATGACCTCTTAGGCTCTTTCAGTTAGTTCTACAAGTCTATGATTATGACTCAAAGGATTATTATTGTTTTCTTGGTTACTACAGGGTAAGTCACAATTTTCAGTGAAAGGACTTTTCACTATTTTAGTCACACGTATGGAAATTACTGGCTAAAGATAAATTCCTGGCTAAAAATAAAAATTAACAAGAAAGATCTTTTATGCAAATATACTCAGAGTGTTCTAAGGCCAATAGATCATATGACAACACAGTTTCACTCATTCTGTCTATATTTTACATGTTAATCTCCTAGCTACCCAAGAATAAATCACATGTACATTTGAAAACTAAAATGTTAAATTTTTCAAGGGCATAATTTTGTGTTTCAGGTCCTAGGTGTTTGCAAACATGCAGTGAACCAATTGTCACCAACATTTTAGTTATGTCTTGTCGGGTTGCATGAGGCAGTGAAGAAAATTATCAAAATCTGTGCCATAAGAGATGGCTATGGGCCGACCACCTAGCACCTAGCATCTAATCTGGTCAGCCAAAGGTAAAGATTAGTAAACTAACACTTGTAGAAAGATGACTATGGGTATAAGGAACTATAAAGAGTACTTTCACATATTGAATATCAGGTCTGTTTCACTGATGAGAACATTCAGACTTAAGAGATAAAATTGGCCAAGGTCACACAGCTAGAAAATAGTCAGGCCAGGATTTAAATTCAGGTCTTCAGACTTCCAGGCCCCTACCCTTAGCATTACACTATGCTGAAGTAAGATGACTATTTAAATGGTGACACAGCTACAGTGATCAAACTTTTAACTGTTCAAGCATTGTACTGAGCAGGGGAAACTCCTCAGTGAAATAGAAAGAAATAAGGATGTCATTCTAGGATAGCACCCTCCAAAAGAATGTAAATTATTTACAAACTAGTCCATACAATTAAGGGCAATTCAGGAAGCTTTGGGCAAGTAAATAATTCCTGCTTTTAGAACACTTTAAGGCTTAAAGTAATATGTATAATCAACAAGCACTATGAATCATAAGGCAAGTGAATGATGTTTCAGCTATAACAAGACGAAGTGATGCTTTAAAAATAATGCCTTTTGGTGAAATAATTATCACAGTTGATATATGATTTGTATAAGTACACATCAATGTGTATATATAGAAGCATGAATAAAAATAAGTGCATTATCTGGCTCACTATATGAATATGTAGAGAGTTTTAAAAACTTACCTTAGATGAGACTATCCTATTATCACAAAATCTTTGTGCAACGTAATCTTCTGGTACTGAAACTGGATGATTGCCAACAAACACCGTGCGTGTACCAACTCGTTTCTCTTCTCCAGCACACTGACCAAGAGAAAGAGGGGAAAAAATGAGCTTTCTTTATCACATTTCTCCATGCTTCTACAGAGCTCAAAATACTCATCTAAGCATGTCTGACTATGGTCTAGAGAGAAAGAAACAGTAATAGAGAGAGAAGAAACCCTTGTTAGGAACGTCAAACTCCACTAAGCTCTTAGTTGTTGATTTAGTAAAAATGTTGCTTGAGCCAACTGTTCTCAGGCCAACACTGTAATTCTAAAATGTTTAAATTAAATAACGTATCCTAGGGAAACAATAATTTTTATTGCCAGCCATTTTTCTTTCATCCACAGAATCTCAACCATCACCATCAGAGCAACACACTAACTTAGGAAAGGTCAGACTGAAATATATAATTTTTACACAACTACTGACGACAACCTTGACATTACCCTTACCAGACAGCAGAAAACAGAATACAAATTACTTCTAAACACAAAATAATTAGTTATAAGAATACAGAAATACTAATGGAATGATCAACTATTTTAAGTTCTTTGGCTTTACAGCAAAGACATTCCTTTGTCATTTCTCAGAGCCTACTGTCAAAAAGTCACATTTCACAAATTATATCTCTAATGTCCCTTTTACATTTTTAAAAATTAGATCTGCCGAATCTTTAAGTTCTAAGGTTGAACTCCATTTTACCTCAACCTTGTACTTCACTGAGGCTTCACTGTTTTCTTAATTTGGGATAATACATTTTCTTATATAAATTTGGGACAGTTTCCTTTGATGATACTTATCACTAGAGGCCCAATGCACAAAGATTCGTGCAAGAATGGGCCTTCCTTCTCCTGGCTGCTGGCACCACCTTCGTTCAGGTTGGAGCCGGCTTTTAGCCTTCACTCTGGCCCGGAGCCGCCTTTCCACCTTCCCACGCTGCCCAGAGGCCCAGAGTGGCTGGGGGGGGGCGGAAAACCTGCATCGTCACCATGGCGAAGACACAAGAGTCCTGCCCCGCCCCCGGCCGCTCGGCGCCTGCATACGCAAATTAACCTGCCATCTTTGTTGGGTTAATTTGCATACTCGCCCCTGATTGGCTGGTGGGTGTCGTGAAGGTACTGTCAATTTGCATCTTTATCTTTTACTAGTGTAGATGTTTGAGACAACAATATATTTAAGTCACAGGAAGTATGACAGAAACCAATATCCACTTATATATTTCCAATATTTTTTAAAACAATAATCCCTCAACCTAAAATGTTTTAAAAGTATACAGTCACAAAGACTTTCCTCCCTTTCAATAATCCATTTAAAGGTCAAAGATGTAAATCTCTACCCCAAAACAATCATTTTACACAAAATACTTAGAGTCTGCAAAGTTCTCCAAATGTCTGTTTAGATGTATGCTAGTCGGAATTTTTGCACCTTATATAGATAATACAGGGGACATGATGTTTTAGTTTGAAAAAATAAGAGTCACCTCCAAAATATAGATAGGTAAGACCTCTTGCCTTACCATTTTTATTTAAGCTTATTAAATAACTAGAGGCCCGATGCATGAAATTCATGATGGGGGAGGGTCCCTCAGCCCGGCCTGCGCCCTCTTGCAATCTGGGGCCCCTCACTCCTAACAGCCTGCCTGCTCGCTCCTTACCACTTGGCTTGACACTCCTTAGCGCTGCCTTGGAGGCGCGAGTGTTTCCTGCCACCACTGCTGCGCTGTGGGAGCATAATGACCACCAGGGGGCAGCCCCTGCATTGAGCGTCTGCCCCCTGGTGGTCAGTGCACGTCATAGTGACCGGTCGTTCTGCTGTTTGGTCGATTTGCATATTAGAGTTTTATTATATAGGATTATTTAGTGGATATTTCCTTCAAAAATCTGTAGGGAATCAACTGAAGAGTAACTGGGATAAACTGAAGTAGGAGACACTGAGGCTATATATAAAGGGTAACTTTTAGAAATCTACCCTGGCATGGGGCTAACAGAGGTTGTGGGAATCTCTATCCATGGCAAGCTGGAAAAATTCACTAAGTATCAGTGCTGAATAGCTTAGCTTTTTACCCATCTGCCCAAAGAAAGGGCATTAGAACAATTGATTGTGCAGGTCTGTCACATGCCAAGAATCAATGATTATAGCAGATAAATTTTCAAATGGTTCCTGGAAACCAATAAAGATTGCTTTTACTAGAATGGTAGCTATATACATTTTGCCTCAGGAACTGACTTTGTTTGTAACTGTAATATATAGGGTCTGACACAGATTACTGATAAGAGCACTAAATTTCCCATATCAATTTTGCAAAATGTAAACTGAAGTTGAATACACCTTCTAAAAGTATAGTTTATTCTGCTTCATACTTACTCTCACCTTCTGTTGTAATTACAGGCTCATTGTAGTCTCTACAATACTTGAACCTTATAATGTACCAATTTGAATTACAGAAATTGTCAAATTCATATACACACTGCAATGTACAACCTCTATTTTAATATTCATAAAGCAAGAAATGGAATAGAGTAAATAAAAAAGAGCTACTTTTTATGCCAGTTCTCAGATCATTCCGCAAAAGGAAAGGGGGAAGAGTAAAAGGAAAAGAGGTAGAGGGTCAGCGAGTTTTCTGCAGGATGTTTCATGTACTGCCAATGTAAACTGTTCCCCTCAATTAACAATAGTCACTGATTAACTTAAAAACAAAAATGATCTAGTGCTTCCTCAATTCTGAATTGTTTTCAACTTTCTTCTCTGGCAGGTCACAGAATTCCAGAGAACAAAAGGAAGGAATGAGCATAATCCAAATGTTCAGGCATGATAGTTTTTTTTAAATAAAGGCATGATATTTTCATGAATTCCCTATATCTGAATGGCATTTACAGTTTCCCTAAGTGCTTTCCCCATACATTATCTCTGGGATTTCTTTCAAATAGACCTAAGTGACCTCTATATCTCCATTTAATTGGAGAATATGGATAAAAATTGATGTGTAGGTAGCACGGATAGAGCATTATAAGATGATGAAATAGGGGCCTGGGAACTGCATCATGTCCACTCCTGAGGATTTTCCAAAAGGGCAAAGTCTCCTCAGCCCCAGCAGGGTGGGATTTGGAGCTTCCTGAGAAGTGGGGGTGAGGTGGGATGAAAGAGATAACTTTTCCACGCTTGTTTTTATTCTCAAGTCTGATGAACCTGCAATTTCTGGTGGAATCTGCTCTGTTTAATGTTATTTGGTCTGCATATAAATGGCAATGCTGAACTTGTGTAATTTTCCACTTGCTGTAAATGTAGCGTTAAAACAGTGGTTTTAGTTCCTGTGATTTTGAATAATGTAGGTGCCTTAGCCATGGCAGAGAAACTCCAAGTAGGAATCATAAAACAATTTCCCATTTAGATGGCATACAATGTAGTCTGGAGTGGAAATGTATGAGTCCTGCCATCTTATAATGAATTTTAATCTATTAAGAGTCCCTCCTGTGTTGAACTGCTTCCCATTCAAATGTCCTCAGAAACAACATTTTTAAGAACTGAAATATGCTGGCACCAATTCTATTTTAATGACACATCATACACTATAATTCTATATAATGAAAGCCTAGGTGGTGTCACGCCCTCGCGTGATACCCTCGCACAACGTCACCACAAGATGGCTGCGCCTACAGCGGAGGCGGGGCCCGGTGGCCACTCCTCGTGGTGAGGCCTGAGAGTCCTGTGGCTCTGCACGGTGCAGAGGAGGCCGGTCCCGGCGTCTCCGCCACCTGGAGGTAGGTCCCAGTGGAGGAGGCGGGTCACAGTGGAAGAGGGCAGTTGTGGGCAATCAGGCTGGCAGGGGAGGGCAGTTGTGGGTGATCAGGCTGTCAGGGGAGGGCAGTTGGGGATGATCAGGCCAGCAGGAGAGGGCAGTTGGGAGAGATAGGGTCGGCAGGGGAGCAGTTAGGGGGCAATCAGGCCGGCAGGGGAGCAGTTAGGGGGCGATCAGGCTGGCAGGCAGAAGCAGTTAGGGGCAATCAGGTAGGCAGGCAGGTGAGCAGTTAGGAGCCAGCAGTCCTGGATTGTGAGAGGGATGTCCAACTGCCAGTTTAGGCCTGATCCCACAGGGATCCCAGATTGGAGAGGGTGCATGCTGGGTTGAGGGACAGCCCCCTCTGTGCATGAATTTCATGCACTGGGCCTCTAGTGAAAAATATAAAGAGTATTAAACAGTATATTTATAAAATATGAATTAACAGAGAAAGCAATTTAATCTTCTTCCTCAAGATAAAAATCATTCTTTTGTACTCGTTTCATGCCTCCATAGTATAAACTGAATATTGTTTTAGTAAAGCAAATAACTTTCTCTAGAACATAGTCTCTCAATAAAAATCAGAGTAAAGTGATACTGTAATTCAACTAGCACCATGTTAAAATCCTGTGCCATTAGTAATCATAAAACACAGAAAGCTGTTGGAAGTATAATTTGTTTCTTGATTTCCTTTAGACCAGGGGTGGGGAAACTTTTTTCTGCCAAGGACCATTTTAATATTTATAACATTATTCTTGAGCCATACAAAATTATCAACTTAAAAATGAGTCTGCTATATTTAGTCAAACATTTAAATAACTCACCCCTAATGCCTTAACAGGGCCAAACCAAATGATTTCACAGGCCTCATACAGTCTGCGGGCCGGATGTTCCCCACCCCTGCTCTATACCAATGACTCAATAAGAACTAAGGAAGAATAAAAATCTCAATACAAGACTATCACTATAAAAGCTGACACAGGATCTGAAACAGAGCTCACCCTCTCCATCCTTTCCAGGTGTTGGCCAATTTAAATTTATCACTTAGTCATAGATCAGTGGTTCTTAATTCTGGCCATAATACAAATGTCTGTGTCTTTTATTTAATACTTGATTTAATTTTTCTGGAGCTCCCCAGATGACAATTCTAATCTGAAGCCAGGACTGAGAAAACCGCTACAGAATCTCTCTCACTGAATTAGTGATTGTCCTTAACTAACATCCTAAAAGTTTTTAGCCATAATCCTACACTTTTCTTTAAGTA